GTCTGGGTAGACAGTACTGACTTTGATGGGCCTGAAAGTTCTGATTCAGTATGTACACAGCTTCCTGTGCTCATGTGCTGTTCAGTATTCTGGGCACCTTGTGGCACGGCCTGCCCGCAGTCCTGGCTTTCCGCAAACCATGCAAAACCGAATTATTCAAGAGGGCTTTTCTACACAGGCAGATTCTTTTGAACTGTGGTGCTGGAGAAGACTCTTGAGAGTCCCTTGGACTGCAAGAAGATCAAATCAGTCAATCCTAAAGGAAATTGGCCCTGACTGTTCCCTGGAAGGCCAGATAATGAAACTGAAGCTCAAATACTTTGGCCACCCAATGAGAAGGGAGCCCTCACTGGAGAAGAAGACCCTGATGCTGGGAAAGACTGAAGGTCAAAGAAGACGGGGACGGCAAAGGATGAGATGGTTAGACAGTGTCATCGATGCAACGAACATGAAATTGAGCCAACTTCAGAGGACGGCGGAAGACAGGAGGGCCTGGCGGGAGATGGTCCATGGGGTCGCGAAGAGTCGGGACTCGACTGTGCGACTGAACAACAAAAGTAGAGTTGCACTGTTCTAAATGGGTCCATATTACCGTGTATTGTTGGCTGAAACTAGGATCCCATTACGGAATTTTGCATCCTTCAATGTGTCACTTACGCTTTGTTTCAGTTCTGTTTTTAGACTTCTGGTTGGTCCTACCACCCTAATCCCATTGCATTTTTTATTAAACGTCCCATCCATCGATTGCATTGAATCGCTCTGTGTAATCTGCCCTTCCGTCCAAGCGAGAAAGGTGGATTATAAATAACGTAAATAAAATTTTAAAAGTAACCATGCAGGCAAGCGCTTTGCTCCTCGAAGGGCCTTTTAAACCCCTGGTTCTCTTGTGGCACAGGCTCGAAGAACTTTTCCTGCCCTCTCTGCTCTCCTGTTTCCGTTCCTCTGCTGCCGGAAAGGGTGGGAGCTGGTTCCCACTGCCTCACTCTTATTCCTTGCTCTTTCACAGCTTGCCCAACGCCATGACGCAGCTGCACCCCCTGCATCAGCGGATCCTGACTCAAAGGCAACAGCGCAGGGGAGAGCGGAGGTGAGGGGGCTCCGAGGGAAAGCTTGAACGCAGCTGGATAGGCATGCGTTTGGGAAGCAGGAGTAGCTGGCACTTCCGGCGGGTCGGCCACCTTGCTGAAGAAGCCACAGAGAGTCTCTGGGAGCCTTAGAGATTATACTGCGACGTGGAGTCCAGTTCATCTGATGCCCGTTTATCCTTAGGGAGTGGATACGCATACAAGGGAGAAGGGAAGAGACAGTCACTTGTGTCAATGGGCCATAAATAGGGTTGCCGGTTCTTGGATTGGGAAATACTTGGAGATTGGGGGGGGGTGAAGTTTGGGGAGGGGAGGGACCTCAGCAGGGTATATTACCATAGAGTCCATCTTCCAAAGCAGCCATTTTCTCCAGGGGAACTGATCCCGGTCGTCTGGAGATCAGTTGTAGTAACGGGCGGTCTCCCGGTACTGCCTGGAGGTTGGCAGCCCTAGCCACACAATGTAAGAAGTACAACCTTGTGACTCTTCTATTTAAAGAACAACAACACTTAGATGTGAATGAGCTTTGCACAGAAGTGTCATACTTGCAAGTAGCCCCACTCTTTCACAGCGGTATGTGTAAATACGCATATTTGGAATAGGCTTGAGCCTGTTCAAGTTCTATTCCACAATAAAGCTTTCAGTTCTTTTAAGTTGCCACTGGGTTCCTTTAAAAAAAAAATGGAAGTGGATAAATGTTTGTATGCTGTACTGGGTAGAGCTTTGGACTGCAATCCGGGAGACCCGGTTTTGAGTCCCCATTTTCCCACGGGAGCTCACTGTGTGACCTGGGGTGAGCCCAACCTCAGCCTAACCTACATCACAGAGTGGTGGTTGCCAGTATAAAATGGAGAAGGGTAGAGAACAGTGTTGTAAGCTGCTTTTCAACCCCGTTGGGGAGAAAAGCAGAATATAAATATGTTTTGGGGTACCGTTTACTTGGTAGTTAAAAGTACCCAGTTCCGGGTTTGGGTTTGATAAATCTTTGATCAAATTTAGGCTTAAGAGCCATTCTGAAACTTCAGGTACACTGATTATGACCGAAAATGTCAGGGGGGGGGGGGCGTTTATTTTGAAGCGGTTTGCTGCGTCCCGAGCTGGTTACAGAAAAGCGAATCTGTCCTTTGCTGCCTTCAGCTCTGTGTAGGACCGAACCCAACTGAAGCAGAGGATTGCCTTAAAATAAATTTGCTAAGTCAGTCTCTCTTTATCTCAAAGAATCCCTTCTGTGGTACCTCAGCCTCCAGAAACAGATCCTTATGGAGCGCTCATGACTTCACTGGAGAAGGACTGGGTCATAAAAGTGCAGATGATGCAGCTGCAGAGTGAAAACCCCCAGAGGGATGACTACTACTATCAGGTGAGGGCTGAAGAGGCAAACATTCATCTGGGCAAAGTCGACAGCAGTAGGAGAATCTGGGGCGGAAGGGAACGACGATGTGGCCGCTGTAAGGTTTTGCTTTGGATTTTGCAGCTTCGAGTTTAAGACTCATCTACACTGGGGATTTATAAATGGTCCCCCCCCCACAGTAGTTTGCTTATTACAATTTTTATGAATCTCCCCTAGGAGCTGTAGGTGTCATACCTGGTTATCCCCTGCTCCATTTTATCCCTATGACCCCATGGTTTAGGTTAAGCCGAGAGTGAGTGTCGTTGGGCCAAGACTGACCCAGCATGGTTGTTGGGTATTACAAGTTGAAAACACTAATTTTCTCCCTGATTTAGGAATTTGATTGGGACTGAAGTGTATTAGCATTTTATGGCTTCTCTTCCCGTCTTTGTTTGGTGTTCTGAAGAAGAAGAAGAGTAGCCATAATCTCTCTCCTCTAGTTTTGTCTTTGTAGAGTAAGGATGTAGTAGATTTTGCTCTGTTGTTATTTTCATCCCAGTTACCCTTCCCATGCTAGAATTTAGTAAAAACTTTATATTTTAATCACACATGGACTCTGAGTCTGAATTATTTTACTCTGGCACTGCTGGACTATCTTATCTCTGCTAAATACCATTTTTTTCAATATCTCACTATCACCCAACAATGGCTCATAGCTGAGTAGGGATTTCAGCCTGACTCATTCCGGTTTAGACTTGGCCTTGAATAAGCTGTGTGGGGTGGGGGAGGTACAATTTATTTGTTTATTTCCGTTATTTCTAGTCTGCCTTCCTGACTGGGACTCAAGGCAGGTTGCAGAGAGTGAGTCAAAACATTCAACAAGACAGGCGGGTCAATAAACGATGAAATAGGATTAGAGTTGTTGCTCCTACTCCGACTGTTACCATCTGTCTACGACTATTACTATCTGTCCTAGCCCTTATTACCAACTCGCCGTGAGTGCAAAAATGGTGGTACTGCGTGGAGCTGTGGCCACTAAGGATACCATCCTCCTGGTGACATCGGTTCCCTTGTTAGTTGTTGTGGAGAGCACTTATGTTGCACTGAATGTTTTGAAAATGCAGTTTTAATGTTTTATGTATTGGGCCTTGGCCCCATCTGTACGCCGCCCTGAGCCCGTTCGCGGGGAGGGCGGGTTATACATTTAAATAAATAAACCAGACGTCCAAAAAACAGAGACTGAAGCAAAGCATAGGTGCTAACATGGCATATTAAACGCTGTGAAATCATACAACGGGATCCAGTTTACAGCAAACTGTACGCAGTAGTATAGACCACAGTCCCTTGTGGCTTATCCAAGTAACCTTGTGAAGCGGTTTGTGCAGTGGTGTGCCCTATGGCTTGCACGGAAGAGCTCCCTTGAATAATTCGCTTCTGCACCTGCAGAAAGCCCTGCTTGGGTGAGTGAAGCTGTCGTGATGGAGCAGAGGGGGAGAGGTGGTCCAGTAGATAGGAGGGTCCAAGTCTACTTTGAATTGAGCTGTGATGACAGAAAGACTGTTTTCCTCCCTGCCACGTCCCCACTCCTCTTCTCACCTGCTGCCACAAACAATTGCTTTGGCTCTTGTTCTCTAAAGTTGCGTGTGTCTCTGTTGAGAAGCTCTAGCATGGTGTGAAGGCCTCAGTTTGCTCTGGAGACGGAGAATACTTTCTAAAGGGGTCTGTTGACCCCTTTCTGGGCAGGATGGCTTCTGAGTAGCTGAGTCTGGTCCAACCATTAAAAGACAAGTGAGGAGCAGTGGGAGACACCCTTTTGACCGGCCTTTCTGTAAATAATGCAGTAACAGATGTGCTGCGCGCTTGCCCTGCCTTCAGCAGTGAACTCTCTTATCCTTTCCCCCCCACCAGGAGTATTATCGCAAGCTGGAGCAGAAACCAGCACAGAAGGGACTCCTGGGCAAGTGCAAGAATGAAGTCCCCAAGCTAGTCACACCATATATCCAAAAAGTGGAGACGTATGAATCAGGTGAGTGGTGTAGTGGTTAAGTGTGCGGAGTCTAATCTGGAAGAACCAGGTTTGATTCCCCACCCCTCCACTTGCAGCTGCTGGATGATCTTGGGCAAGCTATAGTTCTGACAAGAGCTGTCCTTGAAAGGGCAGTTCTTAAAAGAGCTCTGTCAGCCCCACCTACCTCACAGGGTGTCTGTTGTGGAGAGGGGAAGGGAAAGGAGATTGTAAGATGCTTTGAGAATCCGAGTGAAGGGCGGGGTATAAATCCAAGCTCCTCCTCCTCCTCCTCCTTGCAAGGAAGGGGGGTGGCTGTAGGCAATAGAGGTGGGTGGTGGTGGAAAACCTGTCAAGTCGCAGCCAATGTATGGCAACCCTGTAGGGTTTTCAAGGCAAAGAGGCGAACAACGTCATCGTCTGCCTTTGTATAGTGACCCTGGACTTCCTTAATGGTCTCCCATTCAAGTACTAAGCAGGGCGGACCCTGCTTGGCTTCCACAATCTGACAAGATGGGCTAGCCTGAGCCATCCTGCTCTGGGGGCATCATCGATGGGCACATCCTGACAATGGCTTCTTCCTCCAGTGGTGCGGATCCCGGGCTCCTTGGGCCAGGTGGCCGTGTCCACGTGCTATAGCCCTCGTAGGGCTATTGATGCCGTACATCACATCCCACTGGAGCAGGTCTGTACCGGTTGCTCCCCACCGGTTTTATCAAGGAGCTGGAATAAAGGGGGGGGGGACTAGCTGGGTGGGGCTGGTTTCAGACCACTTTATAGGAGGCAGCTGAGGCCCTCGTGCCAATAGTGGGTTTCTGGGTTTCTGCTGGGGTTTGGTGCTGGGTTTTTTATCCTTCTGTTAGTGTTGGGGTGGGGGAAATGGCACTTGAAGGTCGAGATTTGCAAACAGCAGTATTTCTGTAAATGGCTTTGCAAAGCCTTCCCAGTTTTCTCGGGTCACATCTTGGGATGCCCAGCCAGATCTGGTCTCTATACTGACTGTGAATTTTATCCCCCCCCCCATTTTTGAAGGCTGTCGGGAATCAGCGAGTGCAAATGCTGTATCAGATTGAGAAGGTGAGAGCAGAGGGGGCTGGGGTGTGTGTGCGCGAGCGAGCGATGCCCGAGCATTTGTGGCCCATAGCTACTGCTCGCACCGAGTTTGTTACGGATGTGATTGCTCCCTGTTCCCTAATTGCTCCCTGGAGAGTGGTGGGTGTCCCACAAAGGCTGCAGCTGGATACGACTTCTCTAGAACTCTGCGGCTTAGTGGCACCACTGGAATCTAGACAAGGTTAAAAGAGCTCCCTCTGGAGCACAGATTTTGGACTTCCGTTGTAAATCCTATGACATGTTGAAATATACTGGGTTCGAAGTCGTAGATAGTGAAATCAGCTCATGGTTTATTATAAGGCATGAACACAAGACAAGCTAGCAGGGCCGGAGTCCTGCTTATATTTCCAAAACACACCACACCCAACACACAGACACCCACAACCCATGATAGGCTATTTACAGTGTACCAACACCCATAGGTCTAGTCCAGGATCCAGGCGGGCCGATTGGTCTGTTCCAGGATCCTAGCCGGCTATTGTCTTTTAAGTGAAGCTTTGCTATTTCGCATGACTGCGTGCGAACCTGACTGCGTGTGTAGTCCACGGTTGATAAACAACACGTGGGCATAAAAAGGCTGTTTGCCTTGCTGCTGTTCTACATTAGGTGGCGGACGGAGTCTTTAACAGACCACATAGGGAGGTGGTTGGATTCAAGTCCCGTAGCACCTTAGAGGAGGTAATAGCTAGGGAGGTAATAAAGCTATGCCACAGGCAGGGCTGGGATGTTACCTTGTATGCCTGCCACCCTTGGTTAACGTTATCCATGTCATCCTGGGGGACAGATGTACCTGCACCTGTTGGATATCGAGGACACTCAGCGGAAATTGGTCCTGGCCCCTGAGGAACAGCATTCTCACTTCTGTGAGAAACTGGCTCACGAGGTGGGGCACATCTACCAAACTCTGAGAATTGAAGAGTGCAACAACAAAGAGTGAGTGATGGCCAACGTGGGGGGTGGGCGGAGTTCAGAAGAAAAGAATGATGCAACCGCTGTGCTGAGTTATTTCCTGTCTGTCAGATAAACTTCAAGAGTACTTTGCAACCTGCGTCATGTTGGTGGAGAGCCTGCCTCCTCCCTCTAGTGGAGAAGCCAGGAGATGTTTGGCCCTTTCTCTCTGGGCGATTCTGCATTGGCTTTTCCCTCCGTTGTTTTGCGAAACCGACGTTGGAAAAGAAATCCCTCTCTGCATTGCATGCTGCTTCCCCTTTCTTTGATCATTGGATTTTATGGTACCTTCTGCATAAATTTATGGCTGTTTTATGGCCGTTTGGGGGTGACTTTGCAGCCAGTACAACGTTGCCCCGAAGTATTTCAATGGGGTTTTGAGCTGCACCTTTTTCTCCCATTTGAGAAAATGTGGAACGAATACTAGATGCAGAATCAAGCCCACCCACCCCCTTCCTTCTTTTTTATGCTGCAGAGAGCAAATCGGCTTTAAGTCCAGTCTCTGAATTCCGGAGTATGATGTGGGGGGGGGGGTCACCTTTTGCTGAATTTTGAAGATGTTCCTGGCCTCTTTCTGTTTTAGACTCTTGAGCTGGTTTGACACAGTATAGTGTCTGCGTGTGATGCACTAGTTGTCTCTTTTAGGGAAACGAAAGATGAGTTCCTACAGATCCTGCTGGTGGGAAAAGGGAAGAGGCTTGTGGCCCGTCTGTTGCCGCACTTGTCCCCAGGACAGGCCAAGCAGGTCCTGGTCACCATCACCAAGCACCTGCCTTTCCTTATAAAGAAGGACCTACTGGATGAGGTACTAGTCTGGGGGAGCAGAGGGGCATGAAGGGCCAACTGTTTGCGAGGGACAAGACAAAATGGTCTTTGTGCTCTGGGCCACTTTGATATGAGAGTTTTCTGATGCTGAGTACTGGATCTAGAGGCTAGACCCAGAGCTGGTTGTGCAAAAAAATGAATTCTTACACCCAGGGGTCATTTCCTGTGGGAGTGCACAGGAGCAGAGCTCCAGCAGTAAGGTGCCCAGGGGGCGGGCACATGCAACAAGCCCCGCCCCCTGCTCCCAGCAGCCCTCAGTTGGGCCACGAGGAGCAAGAAGCAGCCAGGTAAGTTGCAGAGCTCCCCGGCCTGTCTTCAGGTACAAGCTCTCCCTCCTCTGTGAGGGCAGATCTGTGCATTTCCCCCCCCCCCCCATAGCTAGCAATCCAAAACAGTCCAGTGGCACCTTTAAGACCAAGTTTTATTCAGGTACAAGCTCTCCTTCCTTTGTGAGGACAGATCTGCACATCCCCTCCCCCCAATAGCTAGCAATCCAAAACAGTCCAGTGGCGCCTGAGTGATTGGTGTTGCCTTCTGACACACTTTCGGTGATGTCAGGGGGCGTGGCATATGCAAATAAGTTATGCTAATGGGCTCCTGCACCTCTTTTTCTACGAAATGACCCCTGCTTACACCCTAACCAGGCTGGTTGTACAAAAGAATGAATTCTTACACCCTGACCCGTCAAAAAAAAACCCTAAATTTTGTGTCTTGCACATTTGTGGGAGTGGTTTTTGCCTAATTCGGTCTGTAGTTGTTTGTTCAGACTTTGCCCCTCTGTATGTTGAGTCAAGAGGCCCTGACTCCCAAATAACAGAAACTGTATTTCCATCACCCCTCCAGTTTCTGAAATTTCAGCCGACCCTGCTAGTGTGTCTTCAAAGCCATGAGAGCTAGAAAGCTGGGTTCTTATTTAAATGTAGCTGAGGTCTTGGAAGTGGAATTGAGCACATGTGCTCTTGAAGAATCTCTATCCTCACACAGCCCTGGAGGATGGGATAGTATGGTATATCTCTAGCACGCTTGCAGTTCAGTTGGTGCTGAAAGACAGGAAGAAGACTTGTAAAAAAAAACCTCAGCCATGTTTTGATATTTTTTCACCCTGAACCATAAATGCAAGGTAATAATCTAAAGGATGAGAGGAGTGGGCTTTACCCCTTGAATGTTTACCTCCTTGCTTATCCCTCTGTGTCTTGTGGGCTTGGTAGACCCTGCCCGTTCTCTACAGTCCCCTCGGAGAGGTCGTCGAACAGCTGACCTTCAGCGAGATGGTCAACGTCCTTCAGGAGCTGACCGGGCTGCAGCCGGATTCTGTGAAGCAGTCGCTCACCATGATCTTCGGAAACAAGGTGTGTTGGGGCCTTTCCAGGATTTCCCCGGGGATATCGGCCAAGCGCTTTGTGCGGGAAAAGATACAAAACAGATAACCAAATAATATAATACCTCTTACTGAGGCCATCCTAGAAGCTTCAAGACTTTTGAGGCGGGGGCAACAGTGGGAGGGCTTCTAGTGTCCTGGCCAGTGTTCCCTCGTAAGCTGAGTTCGTGTGAACTAGCTCACAGTTTTTTAGCCTCACACATTTGTGTCTTAGCTCGCCCAGATTTTCCAGGCCCCATTTTTAAAGACCCTATCAGGCTAACCTTTGAGACTGGATGCTTTGTGGCCCACCTCAGCATCTGGAGCAGGGGTCCCCAACGTGGTGCCACTGCATGCCGTGGTGCCCACTGATACCTCTCCTGGCACCTGCCAAGTTGTTTTCAGAAAGTGGGTGTAGCCAAGTGTGGCTTTTGCCATCGGAGATTTCATTGGCAGTGCAGATTGGTTTAAAATGTTGCCTTGGCAGCAGATGCCTCCACAGGACAAGGATCTTCGCTGTGTGACTGGCTCCACCTCCCGTGGCAGCCATTTTGTGACTGGCTCCACCTCCCGTGGCAGCCATTTAGTGGTGGTGCCCAGTGTGTGGCCAGAATTCCGAATGTGCTTGCAGGCTCCAAAAGTTTTCAGACCCCTGATCCAGAGGGACATTATCTGGGATGCTTGACGCTGGGTGAACCATCTACCTGGTGGTCCTGGTGTCACCTTCCCCCCCCCCATGAATGGTTTATCTCCCTCTCCTACAGTTTGCTGTCTCTCTCCTGTACTTGCTGCTGAGCCACGGCGAGAGGTGTCTTTCCTCCAGCATGCCCCTGGAACCCTGCATCGGAGACTTTGAGAAATGGTGAGGCAACGTGTCCGCGAAGGGGGACTGTCCCAGAGCCTCTGCTCCAGTAGATCGGGGGTCCCCAACATGACGCCTGTGGGTGCCGTGGTGCTCACCAACACCTTTCCTGGGTGCTGCCAGCTGTTTTCAGAAAGTGGGTGGGGCTCTGTCGGGCTTTCCCCCAAGAGAGCTTCTGATTGGCTGTGCAGATAAAAAGGCCTCCTGTTAAACAAGGGTTTCTGCCTGGAATGTTGGAGTTACTATTAGAACCATATATCCCCTTGGCTCCCTGACATTTTGTGGTTGGCTCCGCCTCCCACAGCAGTCCTTTTGTGATCGTGCTCACCGCCCTGCGTCAGAATTACGACGGGGCCCTAAGTCTTTAAAAGGTTGAGGACTGCCGCAGTAGATCTCTTACGGCTGCATCTCCCGTCCTTTCCTAGGGTGGATACGGTGCTCCTTGTTGCGAGAGAGCTCTCTCAAGTATCCAAGGTCAACATGGTGGAGCCCCTTTATATGCCCACCAATCTCCTATTTCTGTTCTGCCGCTACGTGGACAAAGAGACGGTGAATCGTCTGGATGTCAAGATGGAATAGAATATCGGGTATGGCCGGAAGGGCAGGGGTGGGGCGGATAGATAAGGGGTTGTGGTGGGTGTGTAGCTTATAGAGGCAATAACGCTTGTAAAACTCTCTAGTATGATTGGATGGTTGTCATTGCAGGCTAGCTTCTTTACACTCTTAGTGTAGAAATCGAGCTGGAGATGTTTGGGTTTGTTTCTCCTGCCAAATGCCTATTTCTGGGTAGTCATCTTGGTCGTCTTTGCTGGCATGGCCTAAAGCTGGGGTCCCCAACGTGGAGCCTGCCGAATGTTTTCAGGAAGTGGGTGGGGCCAGGAGGGGCTCCTGCCCAGGAGAGCTTCTGATTGGCCACTGGAGATCCGATTGGAGGTGCAGATTAAAGTAACGTTGTTTCGGCAGCAGCTGCCAACACAGTAATCGTTTCATTCTCACACACTCCTCCTTCACAGTGTAATTTTTAAAAGAAATTACTGCTCTGGTCCCTTGCATTCGAGCCTCCTCCGTGTGTGCCTCCGCCTCCCGTGACGGCCATTTTGTGGTTGACTCCACCTCCCGTGGCAGCCATTCTGTGGTTGTGCCCCGCACCCTCTCTCAGAATTCCAAAGGTGCCCACGGACTCAAAAAGGTTGGGGACCCCTCTTCTAACATATTGAGCTGTATCCTCTTACTGCACCCACCTGCAGTAAGACTTAGTGCTTGATTCTAGGGTTCAGGTTGCTTTTGTAGCAATATGAAAGAGGGCTGCTCCCCACAGTGCTGTGCAGGAGGGTTGGTTCCCCCCCCCCCGACTTTCTAGCAAGCCTGTTCCTTCGCTGTGCCTTCCTGTTTTGCAAGTGACCCGTGTGTGCTTGTTCATCCTCCTCCCTCTTTTCCTCACTGTGCTCTGTTTGGCTGTGCCACAGCCAATGGATCATGGTTTATTTTTCTCTTATTGCCAACTGCTTCGAGGGCCTTTTGGCCTGAGGAGTGATGCATCCCGTCTTGAAAGGACAGCTCTCTTCCTGCCCAGGAGATTAAATCTCATTCCTTTTTATGTAGGCTTCCTTTTGGTACTTGGCAAGGGAGGAAGAAACTTGTGTAAACACTGACTGCTCCAGAGCTACAGGCACTGCTGTCTGAATCCCACGGGTTCTGCTGAGGACTTTTGCCTAGAGCAGGCAGGGGAAAGTGATAACTCAAGGGAGAGGGGTGTGGCTCAGTGGTAGAGCCTCTGCTTTGCATGCAGAAGGTCCCAGGTTCAATCCCCGGCATCTCCAAGGACCTCTGCCTGAGACCTTGGAGAGCTGCTACCAGTCTGAGAAGACAATACTGACTTTGATGAGTCAAAGGTCTGATTCAGTGAAAGCTATCTTCATGTGAGGTGCTTGAACCTGAGGTGTTGAACCCACTTTTATGGTGCCCGTTGTGTGCACACAAACACCCCGCAGCCCCTCGTGGCTGTGGGCTTTCATGAAGGTGGTAAAAAAGCAGGCAGAGGAACTTTAGTTTCTGATCACACAACAGTGATCTGTAAAATACTGCACGGTGCAAGGATGGCTGTGGGAGCTGCTTCCTCTACTCTGCGGTCCATCTTAACAAAACACTTGGTCGGCTGCTTTGTATTGATCTCTCAGAGCAGCTAGACCCTGCCTGACTTCGGCTTCTGAGTTACTTGCTTGGTCACAGTCTAAGACCCAGGGCCTGCAATAAACTATGGGCCTGTCCCATATCTTCTCTGACAGTGCAATCACCGGTCCTAACAAGACCTTGCCATACCATCTCAGGTTCAGGTCCTCGTTCATCTTGCAACGTTATATATGCCGTCAAATGTCAGTAATGCCCTTCTGCTCTCTACATTGGACAAACAGGCCAGTCCCTACGCAAAAGAATAAATGGACATAAATCCAGCATTAAAAACCGCAACGCTCAAAACCCAACAGGAGAACATTATAACCTTCCAGGTCATTCCACTGCTGACCCAAGAGTGGCATTCCTTAAACAGTAAAGCTTCAAGGGGAAATTTCAACGTGAGATTGCTGAACTTGAGTTCATTCACAAGTTCAGAACAATGGACACCCCCCCCCCCAGGGCTGAATAGGGACATAGGAGTCTTATCTCACTTCAGATGCTAATCTTCCGCCCCCAACATTTCCCCTCTGCTCTAATCAAGCTGATTACGTTGTATTTCTGCACCCTTTACAAGCATCCCTCCTGTTTTCTGGTTAGGATAATAGGACTCAGATCTCCATTTCTGCTCTCTACTGTATCTGACAAAGGGACCTTTGGCTTTCAGAAGCTTATGCTCTGAAACTCTTGTTGATCTCTAAGGTGTGACTGGACTGAAATCTATCTAACTTGCTGTTTTTATTGTTGCAGACTCCTGGGATGCTTGGAGCATACTCCGTGCAGAAGCATGGGACACCGACTGGTAGTGAGAATCTCCTTTTACCATGAGAACTGAAACACAATGGCCGCTCATCAAACAGGATGCATAATTTAACTTCACAACCTTTTCTTCTGAGGGCTTAATTTATTTTCCCCCTTAAGTGCTCTGTGCTGGTTTGTCAATAGGCAGTTCTGGCAGCAGACTGTGCAACACACAGCTAGCTTGCGGAGCCGGAGGACAAAACGGCTAACCTGTACAGTGTAAATTTGGGCCGTCGGGTGTGGGAAGGGAGGGCAAATTCTTTTGTGTTTGGGGCTTTGTATATAGCACTTAATACAATAAAAGCAAATACCAGAAACAGCTTTGGAACTGGAATCTTAATATCGGAGGGGATGGGTGCGCGTTGTACGCTGTCTTAAATAGCTAACTGCATGTGGCTGTGAGTTGCTATCCATAATCAGGGCCGGCCCCAGCTTATTTTGCACCCTAGGCGAGGATCCCTTCTGGTGCCCCCCCCCCCCGGTACGCCCCTCATTTAAAAAAAAATAAATGCATTTTAGGAAGAATGAAAAACACAAATAATCAAGAAACTCCCAGAGTACGGGGCCGGGTGCAGTTTGGTGACCCTAAGGGCCAGCCCACTCTAGGCGATCGCCTAGTGAGTGAGCCGGCCCTGTCCATAATTCCCTGAAGGCAGATTGAGGTGGGTAGCCATGTTGGTCTGAAGCAGCGGAACAAAGTTTGAGTCCAGTGGCACCTTTAAGACTAACAAAGTTTAGGCAGTGGGACTCCTAATAGCTGGAGTCCAATGCTGTGAGCTCAACAGCAGACTTGGCAAACATAGACACATCCATGAAGGCTTTTGCTGTCGAGCGCTTCTTGCCCTCTGAATCTGGCTCCTCTCTCCCCCTCTCCTTCCTTAAAGTGGTTTGAAAGGAGGATTGTTGCTCTAGGCGTGTGCACCACGCATCCCCTTTGCGCCTCTATCAAGCAAGTCTTGCATTTCTTTCCAAACCTGTTTGACTAGCTCCAACAGTAGGAAGACTGCAAGAAGCAATGACTTTGTGATCCAGCCTGGGAGTGTGGGGAGGGGAGACTACACTGGCTACAGGCCTACCCATAATTCCTGTCTTCTGTTTTGAGAGCACAGCTGACACTGGTGTCCTGGGTGGTGGTGAGCCCACTGCTGCTGCTTTCTGTTCAGCCCTGGCTGGACTTGCATTTGGCTCCCTGGCCTTCAGAGTCACGAAGGCATCTTCTCTTGTAGATGCAAAAAGGCCTCACTGAAGTCAGGGAAGAGCCGGGACTCCGCCCTGGAGCACATGCTTTGCATGCAAAACACCCTGAGTAACCAGTCTCCAAGTTATTACAGGTGTTGAGAAAGACCTTTCTCTGCTTGCCTGCCAATGTCTGCTTTAGTACAAAGTGGCTTCCTATATTAACCACCCTTTTGGAATAAGGCCTCTGCATACCTACTTTTGGAGTGAAAGCCGGGTGTGTTACAAGGGGGTAGGTCCAGTTGTTGTTGTTCAGTCGCACAGTCGAGTCCGACTCTCCGCGACCCCATGGACCAGATCACGCCAGGCCTTTCGGTCTTCCGCCGTCCTCTGGGGTTGGCCCAATTTCATGTTTGTTGCATCGATGACACTGTCTAACCATCTCATCCTTTGCCATCCCCGTCTTCTTTGACCTTCGATCTTTCCCAGCCTCGGGGTCTTCTTCTCCAGTGAGTGCTCCCTTCTCATTTGGTGGCCAAAGTATTTGAGCTTCAGTTTCATTATCTGGCCTTCCAGGGAACAGTCAGGGTTGATTTCTTTTAGGATTGACTGATTTGATCTCCTTGCAGTCCAAGGGACTCTCAGGAGTCTTCTCCAGCACCATAGTTCAAAAGAATCTATTCTTCGGCGCTCGGCCTTATAGTCCAACATGATTAGATCTGTAGGTAAAATGCTGAATTACTGAATTGGCGTGAAATGGCAGAGTATCTGCGGTTGGAGTTGGGTTGTGCTCCTAAACACACTTGGTGGTGGTGGGAATTGCCATCAAGCTACAGCTGCCTTATGGTGACCCCATAGGGTTTTTGAGGCAAGAGACATTCAGAGGCGGTTTGCCATTGCCTGCCTCTGCACAGCAACCCTGGATGTCCTTGGTGGACTCTCATCCAAGAATTAACCAGGCCTGTAGCTACGCCGGGGTGTTTTGGGGCTCCACCCCCTCAAATGTGAGGCACCCCCCACAACAGCGAAATCACCGCTTGGAGTTCAGGGAAGGCGTGTAACTGCCCCTCCCCTGCTGCCCCACAATTTTCCCATGCCCCACCAACCCAAAATACCTGGCTACAGGGCTGGTACTAACCAGAGCCAACCTGGGCTAGCCTGGATGCTCCTAGGAAGTAGATCTCTTTTGAATTCAATAGGGTTGAGTTCTGAGTACTTATACCCTCAGGTCTGCAGTGGCTGTGTGTTTTGCCATGAAGCAATGTTGGCAGAGTTCTCTCCCATCCCCATTTACTTTCTGGTGACTTCTGTAAGAAAGCTTTAAAAACTCTTCACTAAGCTTTGCAGTTAGAAGTGGTTTCTCCAGAACATAGGCAAAAGTGAATTGTGTAGCTGACTGCAAAAACTCCTATAATGCCATAAGTATTGCGGCTTATAATAGCCTAACCTTAAAGTTAGGAGACCTTTGGTCTGTGTGTGGTACCTATCCCCAGGGGTCATTTCCTGCAGGAGCGCACAGGAGCGGAGCTCGGGCAGTAAAGAGCCCAAGGGGTGGGCACATGCAACAAGCCCCGCCCCCTGCTCCCAGCAGCTCTCAGTCAGAGCAAGAAGCAGCTCCCCCCAGCCCCCCAGTCCAAAACAGTCCAGTGGCACCTTGAAGACCAAGTTTTATTCAGGTACAAGCTCTCCCTCCTCTGCGAGGACAGATCTGCACGTCTCCCCCCCCCAATAGCTAGCAATCCAAAACAGTCCAGTGGAGCCTTAGTGCTTGGTGTTGCCTTCTGACACACGTCCGGTGATGTCAGGGGGTGTGGCGTATGCAAATGAGTTATGCTAATGAGTCCTGCTAATGAGCTCCTGCACCTCTTGTTCTTTGGGCTTAGGTAGGCTAGAAACAGCAAAGTAGTTGCTTGCTACTAACTATAGCAGCATCCCCTCAGGGCAGGGCCGGATTTAGACTCGCTGAGGCCCTAAGCTATACAAAACCCAGAGCCCCCCTACTGTTTTAAATTACATCAGCTGGTCTCAGAAAAATTTAAAATATATACGCCTTTTTAATATTTGAAATCATTTTTTATATTGTGTTTTTATTCGAGGCCCCAGCAGATTGCGAAGCCCTAAGCTGTAGCTTATTTAGCTTATGCGTAAATCCGGCAGTGCCTCAGGGTTTAGAATGATACTTTCTAAAAGGGCTCAGGTTTTCCTCATCATAAGAAGTTCCTTTGCCAGCCCAAACAAACAGGCCTTTGGCCAATTTTGCCTTGGAGCAGGACAAGCTGCTAGCCAGGATTCTTCTGTCACTAAGCCCTGTCCAAATAAATACTACATCCAAGCACGAAGCTGTGCCCCGGAGTCATCTCTTATGAAGGTTAGATTGCTTGTGCTCAAAAAAAAAATTGGCAGCAGTCTAACACTAAAGTTATAGCTTAAACGATTTGTCTTAGCTGCCTGCACAAGTTAAGACAGCAACACTGGAATCAAGACGGTGAAAAACCATAGCAGCACTGGAATAAACAGCTGAACAAATAAGAGAGGTAAGCTTTTTGAGGTGTAAGTTGCAAAAAGGAAGAAGAACTCTACTAGACAGACGGTCATGGGCTGGAATGTCCCTCACTGCCTACCTGTCAAACATTTAAAATTTTTGACATTATTACGCAAAGGTCAACAAAGATAAGCCGCAGGGATGAAGGAACTCAAAGGGTCGCAGCATCTTTCCTCTGAAGACATGCGAAGGCACCTGAGACTTCTTAATTAAGAGAGAAGGGGACTAAGTGAAGGACACAACAGACTTGGAGGGAAAAGTGAATAGAACTTTTTCTCCCTCTCCCATAACACTAGCGCTCAGGTGCAGCTGACGGGCAATATGCTGTAGGTGGGCAGAAGTACTTTGTCACTCCAGCAGTTAAGTAATGGAATCTGATGTAGTAGTGATGGCTTTAAACAGGGGACCTTTCCCCGGAGGACAGTCTGACCTGGATAACCAAAAGACTAGCCTGATTTTGGAAGCTCAGCAGGATCGGCCCTGGTTAGTACTTGGATGGGAGATCACCAAGGGCATTCAGGGTTGCCGTGCAGAGGCAGGCAACGGCAAGCCACCTCTGAACATCTCGTGCCTTGAAAACCCCAAGATGTTCCTGGGGGATAGTCTCCTGAATGGCTGCTAGCCCTGACGAGGAAAGGGAGGGGGCGGGGCACATGATGAAGCCCCGCCCCCTGCTTCTGGCTGCCCCGCTTCTGGCCCTCATTCAGCCAGGAGGAGGCAGGAGAAGAGGGAGGGTAAGTTGCTTCCTCCCTGCCTCTCCCCACCCCTGCCTGCCTGGGGCCAGGGAGGGCCTTCGCGGGGCTTCCTCGCACTCCTGCTGCCCTTGCAGGTCCACCGCTGGGCCCCTGATGTCAGGGGGTGTGGCATATGCTAATGAGTTATGCTAATGAGTTCCCCTAGCTCTTTTTCTACGAAATGACCCCTGGGTGCAGGAGTTCGTTAGCGTAACTCATTAGCATAACTCATTAGCATATGCCGCACCCCCTGACATTACCGGAAGTGTGTCAGAAGGCAACACCCACCGCTTAGGCTCCACTGGACTGTTTTGGATTGCTAGCTATTGGGGGGGGGGAACGTGCAGATCTGTCCTCGCAGAGGAGGGAGGGCTTGTACCTGAATAAAACTTGGTCTTAAAGGTGCCACTGGACTGTTTTGTACTGTTTTGGGCTGGGGGGAGCTGCTTCTTGCTCTGAATGAGGGCTGCTGGGAGCAGGGGGGGGGGCTTGTTGCATGTGCCCGCCCCCTGGGCTCTTTACTGCCGCAGCTCTGTTCCTGTGTGCTCCTACAGGAAATGACCCCTGGCCACAGGCTAAAAAACTGAGCTAGCTCACACGAACTCAGCTTAGAGGGAACACTGAGGGCCTCTCTGTGACCTGTTGGTCGGTCCTCCAGGCCATCTGATACAAAAAAGGATGCTGGGCTAGATGTAGGGTTGCCAGCTCTGGGTTGGAAAAAGTGAGATTTTGTGGGTGGAGTCTCAGGAGGGTGGAGTTTGGGGCACAATACCATAGGGTCCACCTTCCAAAGCAGCCATTGTCTCCAGGTGAGCTGACCTCTGTCATCTGGAGATCACTTGTAACAATGGGAAAGCTCCAGCCACAACCTGGAGGTTGGAAACGCAGCCAAAGCAATCTCTCAGGTGGAAATTGAAGTTCCACCTTGGGAGGGGAGAAGGCCACGCGCTGGCTCTCTTCCTCACCCAATCGCTTGCCTCCTCCCGCCCTCTCGATTTGCATGCTAAGCCCCGCCCAGGCCTGAAGTTTTCTCTCCCCGGGATGAGGGGCGGAGCCTGAAGCGGGCGTTCCGCGCGCAGCCCCGCCTCTCCCTCCTCGCGCTGTGGGCTCCAGAAAAGCCAGCTTGGTGTCGCTTCCGGCGGGGGTCGTGTGGGAGCCGGAAGTGGTCGTCCTCGGCAACCGAGTGGCCGTGGCCATGGCGTCGGGCGGCTCCCCGACAGACCGGCTCCCTCCGCCCTTCCCCGGCGCGGAGGTGGTTAGCGGCCCCTCGGCCGAGAGCGACTCGGATGGGGAGGACATTTTCACCGGCAGTGCTGTGAGTGACAGGAGGAGGCGGGGCGGAGGAGGGAGGGGGCTTGTTGCAACTCTGTTTGCTCACTCTGGTCAGGGGCGGGGAGGGGGCTCTCCTGAGGCACCTTGGCAGGGGCCCCCCAGTATGCACATTCTAGAGTAAATCCTGTTGAAGTTATTGAGAACTTGCTCTTTGTTTCAGCTTTTAATTTCAGCCTTTAACTGGTTGGTGGTCTTGAAAAGCTGCTCTCATCCACGTCTTTTCTTCTTCCCTTTTCTCTCTCCTTCCAAAAAAACCCAAATTGTGGAAGTGTTTCGGCTTATTAGGCTAAAAAGTTATCTTCCCCTCCTTCTTTGTTTGCAAGCTGATGCTGGAAGGTTTAAAGTGGGTGGGTGCCGAGGGTTTTGGTTTGTTTGTTTTAAAGTGATTTTATAGTTTGTTTTGGCTGCAGCTGTGGTTCCTCCAACCTTCTTGGCGTCGTGACCCGCAAGTCCAGATGCACTTGGCGTGATGACCTACTTTAAAAGAGCAGAACGCGCACAAGTTGATAGAACTGTAAAAGCCTGGAACTTTGCAGACTTTGGAAGTTAGTTTTTGTGTGAGACCCACAGGTTGGGGGACGCTGGGCTACAGCAAACCGATACGGTTTGCTTTCTAGATTTTGTGTGGGTGTGTCGCTTCTTTGCTAATGGTGCCACAAGGTTTTAAATTTGTTTTTAAAGGCTAACAAACTTATGGAGCAAAACAAAGTTGAAGTCCAGTGACACCTTTAAGACCAACAAAGTTTAATTCTGGGTATAAACTTGTGTGTACATGCACAGGAAAGTTTATACCTTGAATAAAACTTTGTTGGTCTTTATTTTTTAAAAAGAATTGTATTAGTTTATATAAAGGGGAAAGGGGGGAAAAGGGAGGGAGAGAAAAGTATAAAAGTATACAAAATTCCAATTTAGTATTCTGCATGCATATCTTATTGTTACAGTTTCATAGCTATTTCATCTGTCATTGTTATTATTCTTCACTTAATCTTGTTTTCTCAAAATTTGAGTTTTAACCAGTCATAAAACGCCCTCCAGGGTCTCATAAATTCTTCCATTTTTCCTTTTAGTATGTTTGTCAACTTGTCCATTTCAGCACATTCCATAATCTTTAATATCAACTCATGAAGTGTTGGTATCTTCAGTGTCCTACATGTCATTGCAAATAGGATTCTAGCAGCTGTTATAATATGTAAAATAAAATATCTATGATTCTTATCTAACTCATCTGGAAGACAGTCTAACAAAAATATTTCTGGCTTAAAAGGTATTGTGATATTCAAGATTGACTGTAAACATGTATGCACTTCAATCCAGAAAAAAACTTTGTTGATCTTAAATGTGCCACTGGACCCAAACTTTGTTCTGCTGCGTCAGACCAACACAGCTACCCACTGGAATCAAACTTATGGGGGTATAAGCCAGGGTCCTACTTCATGCATCTTTCAGTGTGGGCTCTGAATCATAAATTCTTATATCCTGTGAGTTTGTTAGTCTTGAACGTGTCGCAAGACTCTCTGTAAGCTTCAGTTGCAGTCTTGTGTTCTACCTTGAAGACTAGCAAAAGACTTGAGCATTTCTTATGATTTCCCTGTTAGTATCTAACCACTTACCTGTAGCATTCTTCTGTTCTGGAGACAGTGGTCTTTTCCCCACTCAGCTATCATCTGCCTACCAAGCCTTACTTGTGTGAAAGGGCTTGAGTCTCTCACTCTTGTGAACAGAAGTGAATGTGAGATAATTCCCTTTTGAAGCCGTCCATGCTTGTAGCCGCCACCACTTCCTGTGGCAGTGAATTCCAAGTGTTAATCACTCTTTGGGTGAAGAAGTACTTCCTTTTATCTGTTCTAACCCAACCGCTCAGCAATTTCATGGAGTGCCCATGAGTTCTTGTATTGTGAGAAAGGGAGAAAAGTACCTCTTTCTCTACCTGCTCTTTCCCATGCATAATCTTATAAACCTCAATCATGTCACCCCTCAGTTGTCGTTTCTCCAAGCTAAAGAGCCCTAAGCGCCTTAACCTTTCCTCATAGGGAAAGTGTTCCAACCCTTTTATCATTCGAGTTGCCCTTTTCTGCACTTTTTCCAAAGCTATAATATCCTTTTTAAGGTGTGGTGACCAGAATTGCACACAGTATTCCAGATGAGGTCGCACCATTGATTTATATAGCGGCATTATGATATTGGCTGATCTGTTTACAATACCCTTCCTAATAATCCCCAGCATAGCATTGGCCTTCTTTATTGCAGTCACACACTGTCTCGACATTTTCAGTGAGTTATCTACTACAACTCCAAGATCTCTCTCTTGATCAGTCTCTGCCAGTTCAGACCCCATCAACGTGTATTTATAGTTAGGATTTTTGGCTCCAATGTGCATCACCTTGCACTTGGCCACATTGAACCCCATTTGCCATGTTGACGCCCACTCGCCCATCCTTGACAGATCCCCTTGGAGTGCCTCACAATCCTCACTGGTTTTCACCACCCTGAACAACTTCGTATCATCCGCAAATTTAGCCACTTCACTGCTTACTCCCAACTCCAAATCATTAATGAACAAGTTAAAAAGCAGTGGACCAAGTACTGATCCCTGCGGTACCCCACTGCTTACCACCCTCCACTGAGAAAATTGCCCACCTACACTCACTCTCTGTTTTCTATGAACTAGCCAGTTTTTGATCCATAAAAGGACTTGTCCTTCTATCCCATGATTTTTGAGCTTACTTAGGAGCCTTTGATGAGGAACTTTATCAAAAGCTTTCTGGAAGTCAAGGTAAATAATATCTATTGGATCCCCCTTGTCCACATGTTTGTTCACCCCCTCAAAGAACATTAACAGGTTAGTGAGACAAGATCTTCCCTTACAGAACCCATGTTGAGTCTGCCTCAATAGGTTTTGTTCATCTATGTGCCTACTAATTCTTTCCTTAATAATGGTTTCCACCAATTTACCCGGTATCGACGTCAGACTGACTGGCCTGTAATTTCCCGGATCTCCTCTGGAACCCTTTTTAAAGATGGGAGTGACATTAGCTACCTTCCAATCCTCAGGAATGGAGGCAGATTTTAAGGAAAGATTACATATCTTTGTCAGGAGATCTACAAGTTCACATTTGAGTTCTTTCAGAACTCTCGGATGTATGCCATCTGGGCCTGGTGATTTTTCAGTTTTTAAGTTGTCTATCAGTTTTAGGACCTCCTCTCTCATCACCTCAATCTGACTCAGGTCTTCCAACACCCCTCCTGAAATCAGTGGTTCTGGAGTGGGCAAGCACTTCTCATCTTCCACAGTGAAGACGGAGGCAAAAAATGCATTTAGCTTCTCAGCCATTTCCCTATCATCCTTCAATACTCCTTTTACCCCTTGGTCGTCCAAGGGCCCCACTGCCTCCCTGGCTGGTTTCCTGTTTCTAATGTATTTGAAGAAAGTTTTATTGTTGGTTTTTACGTTTTTTGCTATATGCTCCTCATATTCCCTTTTTGCCTGCCTGACCTCAGACTTGCATTTTATTTGCCATAGCCTGTGTTCCGTTTTATCAGCCTCACTGTGACTAGCTTTCCACTGCTTAAAGGAATTCTTTTTACTTTTTACAGCCTCCATTACTCTGTTTGTTAACCATGCAGGCTTTTTCCTATACCTGTTTGTGCCTTTCCTAACCTGCGGAATATATATTTTTTGAGCTTCTAGGATCGTAGTTTTAAATAGATCCCAAGCTTCCCCAATTGTTTTGACCCTTTCTACTTTTCCTTTCAGTTTCCTCCCCACGTGTCCCCTCATATCAGAGAAATTACCCCTTTTAAAGTTAAAAATGGTTGTGTGAGTCTTTTTGGCCAATTCTCTATTTGTACAAATGATGAACTCAACAACATTATGATCACTGTTTCCAAGCGGTGCAATCACTTTTACATCTCTCACCAGGTCTTGAGTGTTACTTAGGACCAAATCAAGGATCGCCTCTCCCCTGGTAGGTTCCGTGACCATCTGCTCCATAGCACAGTCATTTAGAGTGTCTAGAAACTCAATCTCTTTTTCCCGACTAGAACACATATTGACCCAATCAATGTGTGGGTAGTTAAAATCACCTATTATTACACAGTGTTTTTGTCTAGTTGCTATCTTTAAGGCATTCATCATTTTATAATCCTCCTCTATCTTTTGATCTGGTGGGCGATAACAAACTCCCAGTGTTAAGTTTCCTTTTGGCCCCCCTATTTCAACCCATAGAACTTCCAGAAGCGAATCCAATTCACTTAGCCTCTCAATCTTTCTAGACTTTATACCCTCTCTGACATACAGAGCTACCCCACCTCCAACCCTTCCCCCCCTATCCTTCCGATATAATATATAACCGGGAATCACTGTGTCCCACTGATTTTCCTCATCCCACCAAGTTTCAGAAATACCCACAATGTCTATTTTTCCCTCCGACACCAAGCACTCCAACTCCCCGATTTTACCTCGGACACTTCTAGCATTTGTATAGAAACAGCTGTAATTTCCCTTACAAGTTAAGCCTGCATCCTTCCTCTTGCTATCTCGAGTCGTTGTCCGGCAGTCCATGTCACCAGCCATGGCCTCTGTGGACAATTTCAATCCACCTCCCTGTAGAAAAGCAACCGGTACCCCCTCACCTCTCTCAGATGAGCCAACCCGAACCAGAGACTTTTCATCTCCTGTCGGCTTTCCCCCAATATTCAGTTTAAAAGCTGCTCTGCCACCTTTTTGATTTTAAGTGCCAGCAGCCTGGTTCCTTCTCGGGACAAGTGGAGACCGTCTCGCCTGTACAGCTCCCTCTTGTTCCAAAAAGTATCCCAGTGCCTAACAAACCTGAACCCTTCCCCCCTACACCATCGTCTCATCCACGCATTGAGACTCCTGATCTCTGCCTGTCTCTCCGGCCCTGCGCGTGGAACAGGTAACACTTCTGAGAAGGCTACCTTGGAGGTCCTGGACCTAAGTTTCCTGCCCAGCAGCCTAAATTTCTCCTCCAGGACCTCACGACTGCATTTCCCCACATCGTTGGTGCCGACATGCACCACGACCACTGGCTCCTCCCCAGCACTATCTACCAGCCTATCTAAAACACGCGTAATGTCCGCTACCTTCGCACCAGGCAGGCAAGTCACCATACGGTCAGTACGCGGGTTCGCCACCCAGCTGTCTACCTGCCTAAGGATCGAATCACCCACTACCAAGAGCCCCCCTCCCACCCTGCTCAGGGATGGTTCCTTGGTGCAAAAGGAGAGCCGCTCACCAGCTGGGGAAGAGGTCCCTTCTGAGGGCACATTCCCCTTATCCTCAGCATGGTGCCCTGTTTCCCCTAGACCCTCATGCTCCCTGACAGCAGCGGGGCTGCCAGATCCAGAGTGGGACGAAGCTAACAAGTCCCCGAGAGTCTTTTCTGTGTGCCTAGCTGACTGTCTCTGCTTCTCCAGGTCAGCCACCTTGGCCTCAAGGGAGCACACACGTTCCCTGAGAACCAGGAGCTCCTTGCACCGAGGACACACCCAAGACTTCTGCCCAGTGGGCAGATAGTCATACATGTGACACTCCGTGCAAAACACTGGATAGCCCCCAACCCCCTGCTGGCATTCTGGCTTCATAATTCTTTTAAAATAAATAAATATAATCCCCCTTTTAAACCCTTGGTATTTATGTGGGTTTTGTTATCAAGTCAAATTATTTTACGGGAAAGACAAAGAGCCTAGGGCCTTGTCTTTCTGGCTCTTTTTGGGCTTCTTACAGCGCCCCTAGTCTAAGAGTCCCTAGGCTAAGAGCCACAGGCAAAGAGCCCTTTAGCTCACCCTTCGGCTCGTGCCAGAGGCTCGTGCCTCTGCCAAGGTGCTTCCTTAAATAGAGGCCTCCCCCAGCAGAGGTCAGGCAGCAGCTATTCAAATTCAAATTCACCCAGGCACTCAATCACAGGCAAAACAATGCCCCTTCCACTTCCTCTCAATTACAGGCAATCCCAGTCAAACAATGCCCGTTCCTCTCCCACAAAAGAGGAAGAGTCCAGTAGGACCTTAAAGACTAAAAAAATGTGTGGCCGGGTATGAGCCTTCGTGAGTTACTGCTCACTTCTTCAGATAATAGAAATCTTGAGTGCAAAACTCAGTATCCTGTACAAGGCCTGCCAACAGTCTGTGAATTAACTGTGACCTGAGGTGCATTTCTTCTCCTTCTAGCTGGAAGAAGAAGAGCAGGAAGACCAGTTTGAGCTCACAGTGGGAGTGAGCGATCCAGAGAAAATTGGTGAGTCTTGGAGGAAGAGGAGTGCGTGGACATAACTGGGAAGGGGGAAATGGTGTGGATGTCTGTCTACTGCCAGGTTTGCTTTGGCCTAGAAGCCGGAAGCATTGTCTTCATTGATGGTATTCAAATCTGCGTGGGCAGTGCAGAAGGAAGAGGGAACTGTGATTTGGATCCGCAGTCTCATCACTGCTGAATGCTGGAGGTCTCCTTTAAACTCTTACCTGCTGCTACTACCTGGGCAGAGGAGTCAAGACACGGTTCAGGAACGTGATGCTTTTGTGGGATTTTTAAATTCCGGAAGTGGGATTACCAAACACTGCTGGGAAGAACTGCAGACGTTGCTAACGTCAGGCTGAAAGTGACTTGCAAACTGGCTGTTGATGCCCTCTTCTGTGGACAAGGTTTTGCCCACTGTAAAGGCAGTAATCCGGGTCTTTTAACCACTGTCTGTCTGCCCACGTGTGATGCGGGTGTTCATCCTGGATAAAAGGAAGCCCTAAAGGCCCCTGGCTATAACAGTAGCCACACAGTGCTCTTGGCATGGGATACAAACGTCTTCCCTTTCTTTTAGAACACGGTCTTAGTTCACATGAAACTGCCTTATGCTGAATCAGTATGAATGCTTCATTGTCAAAGAAGCCCGGCAACACGGATTCAAACCTGCCTTTGTTTCCTACTTAAGAGGGAAAGGGGGAAATGCTGACACAGTATAGAAGCACGGAGAGCAATCCCGTGTGTGTTTGCACAAAGGTAACTCCTGTCGTGTTCAGTAGGGTTTACTGAGCGCACACGAAGCCTGCCTTATACTGAATCGGACCCTCGGTCCATCAAAGTCAGTATTGTCTACTCAGACTGGCAGCAGCTCTCAGGCAGGGGTCTTTCCCGTCACCTACTAATAGATCTTTTCACTGGAGATGCCGGGGATTGAACCTGGGACCTTCTGCGTGCCGAGCAGACGCTCTGCCACTGAGCCATAGGGCCCCCACACACACAGATGCTGAGCATGTTTTCCAAGTGGAAAGTGATCATCTTCCATGGTTCTGTGATCCATTATGGAACCAAACACTTTTCTGTTCAGATTTTTTGCCTGATTGTACACAGACACCTCGGTTGAATCTAACATATTATAATTACAAAAATATGAGGCATGTCGTCCCCCCACCCCCACCCCCCGTGCACACACTTGAAAATGCTCCAAGTTTAAGTGATGTCTGTTGGGAGAGCTTGCCTTATCGGAGGCAGCTTATTTCAATTAAACTGGATTCTTGGCTGCTTAGCAGGCGACTTTAGCCTGTCAGAGATTCGTCGTGCTGGTAGTCTGACGTGTTAATGTTGCATGAATTGTGGTGCAGTTTAAGCTGGACGCCAGGCGTGTGCAGTCTTGCCCGAGTTCTCCTTGTTCACAGCATCTTACTGAAATCAGGTCTGCAGGGGCCATTTAGAAGGCGGTAGCTGAACCACTGGGCACACGTTAAGGCTGTCATCTGTACCATGCTCAGCAGTGCAGGAAGCTTTGCTGCACGCCTGCACCTGATTGGAACCTGAAGGGGGCAGAGAATGCAGGTCAGGATGGTGGTAATACTTCCTGTCATGAGGCAGGATGTTGGATGACAGCGTGTGCCTGGGAAACAAGCCGAGGTGCAGACATTGGATGCATTTGAAACCAGTGCTCCCTCTAAGCTGTGGAGTCCTGTGAGTAAAAATTCTACTTTGGGAGCTACTGGCGTTAAAGTTTGAGCAGGTGATTTGGCTATGGCATAAGTCAGTTTGCTCTGGAGCCCTCCTTCCTGAGCTAAGACAAAAGTGTGTGAGCTGGAGGCTAAAAAACTGTGAGCTAGCTCACACTGACTCAGCTTAGAGGGAACACTGCGAAACACCCTCTGTTGCCCTCTGGTCAATAGCAGCTGCAACGGGACTTTTTGCTTCAGAGCATTCCTGGTGCCTTGCCTAAATTGCAGCTGTTAATGCAGAAAAGGGGATTGTGCAGCAACCGCTGCATACCTGGGGACTATTACGCCACTTACTTAAGGCTCCTCTCTATTTCAGAGATGCAGGCTGTGTACAGTTTGGCCTTCCCGCAGCCAGCTCCTCAGCTGCCTTCAGTGCCATAACAACCGCTCAATTGTTCCGCCTCTGGCAGATGTGGAGAGCTCTCCCGGATCCTAGCAGTACAACAAGCCCCTAATTATCCTTAGCTCATGCCTGTAGGAAGTGCGGGGAGGACCTGGCACTGCACAGGAGCTGCGATTGTATAAGCTTCAGCCATTGGCATCCTGGGTGTGGCTTGCTAGATGGGAACGACACCCTGGGCCGACGCTTGCCTTTAACGAACCTCCCAGTTAAAAGTCCTGTTGTTAGTCAGTTTGTCCAACCCTTCTGCTTTAACCGGTTCGTTAGGAAACATTTCAGAGAAGCGGTATGAATTTGTGATCAGGGGCTCCCAGTGGTTTCTCTAGGGCACACGATTGAGGCGGGTTTTGTCCAGGACGTTGGAAGAGCAGGCTTCAAGCCCAGTAGCCCTTTAAAGACCAGCAACATTTCCCTGGGATGAGCTTTCAGGAGTTAAAGCTCCCTTCGTCAGATACCTTCAAGCTTTGACTCTCGCAAGCTTCTCCCCCAGAAATCTCGTCGGTGCTTCAAGGTGCTCCTGGCCTCAGCCCTCACTCTTCTGTCGCCAGCCCACATGGCCACCCACCTGAAACTATAATTGTAACTTAATCATTATCGAAAATACATGCATTTATTATCAGTTAAAAGCCAGTGTGGTGTAGTGGTTAAGTGCGCGGACTCTGATCTGGGAGAACCGGGTTTGATTCCCCCCTCCTCCACTTGCAGCTGCTGGATGACCTTGGGCAAGCCACAGTTCTCTCAGAGCTGTTCTCTGAAGAGCAGTTCTCAGTCAGAGCTCTCTCAGCCCCACCTACCTCACAGGGTGTCTGTTGTGGGGAGGGGAAGAGAAAGGAGTTTGTAAGCCGCTCTGAGACTCCCGAGTGAAGGGCAGGATATAAATCCAATCTCCTCTTCCTCCTCTCTTCTCTCTTCTAAAAACAGTTATGGGCCCGATTGTCGCAATCAAGCAATATTCGTACATATAGGCTCAGTGATACAATCAAATCAGAGCCAATGTACCAAAATGTTGTATCTTCTAGACCAAAATAGGAAGGCTTACAATAGTAATATTATTCAGGACATCTATACCTGACCATGACAGAAGGCGATACTCTAGGAAGCCTCACTGGAATTCTTAGGCCTTGCGTCAGTTGATTGTAACTGTAAAACTCCTCCTTTGGTCCTACATTGCTTTATTTGTTGTCTCATTAATGTATCATTGAGCCTGTACATATAAATATTGCTCAACCACTGAAGAAGGCCCCTTTGGCTGAAATGCATCTGGTTGTAATAGGTCCCACTTTGTATATTGTACACTCTTGTTCTGCATTGAGACTACAATCGGCCCCATAATTGTGTTTAACTAACTGATAACATACATGTATTTTTGATAATAATTGTTGCAATTATAGTTTTTAGTTACCGGCCCTCTACTTTGTATGTAACTAACCTTTCAGGTACCTGATTCATTTGTTTGGGTTATGCCCCCCCACATTTCCCCCTCCTACCCACCTGAAACTTCACAGCGTTAGGCGATCCCAAGATTCACTCTGTTATCTGTATTGCAAGTAAGCGTTTCCTTCAGTCTTTTGAGTCATCCCGCTTTGTGATACTGAGGTTTTTTTTAAGCAAGCTGGAACACTCTAGAAGAACCCTGTTGTATTCCAAGTGTTGCTGTTGTTCGTTTTTCTTAGATGCTGTCCAAAACTTGACATGCCTTTGCAACGGCATCACGCCGTTGGCAGCCGGCTCCGCCTCTGAGTCACGGCACTGCTCGGAATCTTCTTTGCGGTGGCGGCACGTATTTAGCCGCCTCGGTCTTAAACTGATTCATTGTTCAGAGCAGATGAGCTGTTCAGCCTGCTGTTTTAGGTTTACTTTAAAGTCAAATCCCGCTTCTTGTGCATGCAGATTTTTGGGTGAACAATGCTTTAAGGAGCTCAGCCAGTTGGAAGGTTAGGGCGAGGTGTGTTTTCCAAAGTGTTGTGATGAAATTCCGCAAGACTGCAGCAGGTGTGGAATTTGGTCTCCCACGTGGCTTCCTTTTTAAATCTGTAGAAGTTGGATGGGAGCTTTTTGAAATACATCGGGAAGGGTTGTGGCCCAGTGGGGAAGAGACTGTTTTGCATGCAGAAGGCCCCAGGTTCAGTCCCCGGCATCTCTTTAGGATCAGGTTGTAGGTAGAGTGAAAGACCTCTGCCTGAGACCCAGGAGAGTCACGGCCAGACAGAGTAGGTAATATTGACCTTGATGGACCGATGGTTTGATTCAGTATCAGGCAACTTCCTGTGTTCATGATGGAGCCATCTGGTATCAGTGCCACCATTCTTTTTGCTTTCCTCCTCTTTCTTGAACTAATTTGCATCTCAGGGCTGCTTCTCTACATGAAACGTGTTGCGTGTGTACTTGTTAATGAAGCTAAAAGCCAAATAGATAGATGGATGGATGTACCTTCAGGCATGTGTGTACCTTCAGCCACAATGGCTTGAAGTCCTCGTAGAATAAACACATGCTGAAGGTGTGCTGTCATCCTTGCCTGTTGTAAGCCTGAGGTTTATATAATACGTGAAGTTGACCCTCCAGCTTCCTGTAAAAGGAGGTCTCTAATTGCCCTGGGAATCGGTTCTGTTAACAGATTACTTTGTGTCAGCTGTTGTCCGCTGGGGGGGGGGGGACCTTTGCCACCATTTTGGCATTGCAGCGTGCTCACGACTCCGTTGAGACCGTCTCCTTATTTTCTCCTTTCCACAGGGGACGGTATGAATGCCTACGTAGCCTACAAGGTATCGACACAGGTATGTCCGCTTTTGAGTCGTACTGGGAAGGGCAAAAGAGTGAGCAGGGGTTCCATCGAGTGCAGGAGAACCAGCTTCCTGTAAGCCAGCCGTCCATTACAGCTGCGGAAATCCTTAGCCGTGCCATGGGCCTTTCCCAGCACTGGAAATTGTAGGAAGTCCGGGAATACCGTCTCCCTGGGCTACTTGGTAGGAGCTGCGGTGGCTCAAGTGGTTAAGATGCTGAACTGCAGGCTGTGGCAGGTCGGTAGTTCAGCAGTTCGAGACCCGAGTGTGCCGCATGACGGATTGAGCACCCGTCTCTGATCCCAGCTCCTGCCAACCTAGCAGTTCGAAAGCCAGAAATTGCAAGTAGATAAATAGGTACCACTTCAGTGGGAAGGTAACAGCGTTCCGTGCACCTTGGTGTTTAGTCATGCCGGCCACGGACAGTACTGTCAAACTGCAGCTGACTTACAGAGACCCCGTAGGGTTTCCAAGGCAAGAGGCGTTCAGAGGTGTTTTGCCGTGGGTGGCCTGCCTCTGGGTCGCAACCCTGGACTTCCTTGGTGGTCTCCCATCCGAGTACTAACCAGGGCCGACGCTGCTTAGTTTCCAAAACCTGTTGAGATCGGTGTCTTCTAATTCTACTCTCCAGATCTGGGGTTTGCCCATACTTGAGGTCTGACCTTGTTCGTCCTGGGGAGAAATGCCTGGGTCTTAGCCAGTCGAAGGAAAACAGACGTCAGCAGCATTATCTGCCGGCTGTCATTTGAACAGTCTAAAAAGCTGCTCTCTGAAGGAGGGGTTTTTTTTGGGGGGGGGGTGTTACTGAATCCTTGCCCTCTGCTGAGCAATCCTCCCTCGAAACGGCTGTTAGGATTTCATGTGCCACATCCACCAGAGCCCTTGCGCAGGATTTGCTTCTCTGATCTCACCGCATCTCGGGAGAGGGTTTTTTTTCGGTGCGTGGGCGGTGTTCCCTGACGCTGGACTTTGGGTCACAATCTGTGCAGAAGGAGAAGAGCTGCCCCCTTTTCTTCCCCAAAACCAAAATAGGACACACGATAAGTAGGACATACCAAAAATCAGCAAATAACCGTGCTACAGACAATTATAAAATATCAGATAATTTTAATATATTTTTTGTTTTATATTTTTACAATTCATTCACCATATATTATTTATCATATAAGCCTTAATACATAGAAAGAATCATATATCAAAACATCTAAGTATCGTCTCTTA